ATGTTGGCTGGTAACAATCGGAATGCATTGTGGGAGATGTAGTTTGTAGTCAATTCGTGCTCAAAACCTATTTTGAGCACGAATCATCGCCCTATATAATGCTGGGGCGGGCCACATAAAATGACATGGCCTGCCCGCGGGCCTTGAGTTTGACACATGTGTTCTAGAGAATGGAGGGCCAGATAAAAACTTCTGGTGGGCCGGATTTGGCCCACACACTCTGTGAGAAGAACAATAAGCTGAGGAAATCTATCAATGGTTTTATCAATAACCCTTCAAAGAAAAAGACAGAAAAAGCACCGGAACAGGAGCACTTTTAATGAAGAGAAAAACAAATTCTGTCCTCTCATTAATGACAAAAAAAACAACAACAACAACAAAAAAAAAAACACCAGAGTTTTTATTATTATAGAAAAAAAAACAACAGAAAACACATAACCACCACCATGTTTGTATGATTTAAAGCATCTGGAGTCTTCTTTAAAATAGATTAATGCTTTATCAATGCTTTTCTTTTTTTTTTTTGAGTACTTAATACTCTCATGTTGTATTTGTGCCAAAAATGACAAACCAGAGCTGTTCCCAACCACTGAAACTCACTCTAATAAAGGGAGATTCAACTGATGAGCTACATAAAAAAAGAGGAAAAAAAAATCCAGTGGTGTATTTTCTGTATAAAAAGAAACATTTTAAGTAACTCTAACTGATCATTGTGGCTCTCTTCTCTGTCGTCTGCCAGGCGATAATCTGCAGTAGAAATGTTCTGAGTTCACCTCTCCACCTGTTCTTGGAAAGCTGCTGAGCAAACAACACCTGCACCATGTTGTTTTTTGCTCATTTATTCACCGTTTACCGGTTATTATTACATTAACTATTCAAATCTGTTATAAATTGTTTTCTTTTTGTTTTTATCAACTTTTAACCTATTTGTTACCAATAAGAGAGTAGAATAATGTTTTCTGCCTTCAAATGAAAGTGATTTCTGATGTAACTGGTGAATTATAAATACAGCAAAGCCAAAATAAGGGGCAAAGGGTTCGGAAAATTTTAAGAAACACTCCGTTCTTGGAACTGCTGCAAGTCGAGCGAGTTAAGAAGAAATGTCACTTAACAGAAGAAGCAACATGTGCTTAAAGGCTTGTTAAGGCAAAGCCATCTCCTGTGGGGAGGCGGAGCGGTAATTGGGAGCTTGGCAGGAGTGCAGCTTTCACACAGGTGGGTGGGAGGATAACTGTTATCCTGAGATGTTGTGCTCGTTTCTCATCACTTTAATGTTTCTGTTCAAACCTGGCTGAGAATTTCACTTAATAGGACTGTGTGATTGGGTTTAATTTTCCATTTTGTTTAAAACCCACTTGGCAGCTGTGACTCATCCTGTGCTTGTTTGTGGTTCAGATTGTGGATTACTGCTGATCGCTGTATTTATCCGACAGTACGTGAACTCTAGGTTTTCAAGGTTTTAACTCAGTAAAGCCTTATGGCTATTGTTTTCTTTAAACTTCTTTTCTTATTTACACTGTGCACACAGGCTCGTGTAAATATAAAGTCCCCCAATAAGATTTGGATGAAGATTGGTTTGACAAGTCGCAGAGAAACCACAAACATTTTGAAAACTTCTGGAAAAACTCTGATCAGTTTTCTAGTGAAAATATTTATAGCTCATATAAATTGTTTGCCTTACAACAAAGTCCACAAACTGTCCTCAGGATTGATTTCAGGGCTAATCCAGCAGCTTAATTTTAGTTTGATGCTTTTTAAAACCAGTTTTAATTAATCTTTTGGCTTCATTATCCAGTCGGAAACAGCCAGCTGTAACCAGGTTTCACATGTTTAGTTGTTAGTTTGAGGTAAATTAAACTTTTGATTTGGCTCTAATCTACACCCAGCTGAACATTAACGAACTTTTTAAAAGCTTGGTCCATTCCAGGAAAACCACATCATTTTAATGACCTACTAGTTCTGATTTAAACAGCCAGGAGTCAAACATCCAGTCAGAATTTATCCAGGACGGGTGTCTAGTTTGAGATGTTTATTCAAACACCAACAAGTATGTCTGTATATATATTTAGCCCTGCATATAACTTCAAGTCAGCAAACATTGCTAGTAAATAAAGATCTATACACTAAAATTCTAATTTTTAACAGTTTTTACATTTACATTTGTTGTTTGAAAGTAAATGTATTTGTCATGAGATTGTCCCATACAAGAAAAATGGTAAAGCTAGTGTACAACTTAAAATGTACTTTAAATACATTAAGATTTGAAGCTGCGACATGACAATACTTTTTAAGCACCAGCTGCTTCTTTAGGACTGAATAATAAGCAAATCAACACATCAAGTAACCAGAATTGAGTATCTAGCCACCAGATTTCTCTCCTTTTGTTTTCTGATCAGCTCCTGGTTTCTTCGTTTCTCCTCGCAGGTTCAGGGATGCTATGCAGGCCAACGAGCCGGAGCCACACGAGGTGTCGGGCCACTTCCGGGCCGTCCTGCTGGAGGTTCTGGATCAGCTGAAGGAGGAGCAGGAGGCGCAGCGGCTGACTCGCCAGTGGAACAACAAGCGAGCCATGAGCATGAACTTCAGGTCGAAGATCAAGATCAACCCGTTTGGAAGCACGACGGGCCTCACCGCCGCAGTGGGCAACGGGACGGGGTTGAGCGACCTCAAAACCGTCTCTGAGGACGTGGAGAAGGGGATGGAGACGGGGGAGAGGTCGCAGAGAGTGTGGAGCATGCCCGACTTTAGATACAAAGGAACCAGCAGCAGCAGCGGCAGCAGCAGAGTGGTCTGATGGTGGGCGTGTGAAGGAAATGTGGACTGATGAGACTTTACGTCTAACATGTTCAAGGCCAAGGCAAGATTTTCTCTCTTCTCTCAACCATGTTTTCAGTACTTGAAGCAGTTAATGAGTTGCCTGAGATTATCTTCTGCAGTGATGTCTCTTATTTTGTAGAAATTTGGCATCAAAGCATTGAGGGCTATTTACCCTGCAGCCTAATAGTATTATTTATAAATGGTCTAACTGAAAGTTGTTGTTTTTTTTCTTTTTTGACGCAAAAAATGCTGCTTGCTTGGTCAAGGCGGAGAAACTAAATGTGGGAATGTATAAAACGACTTTAAAGTGTGAAATGTTTCTGTAGGAGGGACGCCGTTCGTTTCCATATGATTCAAACAGTGAGTCATCCTCCATGTGTCAAAACAGCAGGACTGAACAGTGAAATGCATTATCCAAGGTTGGACAACTGAAAGCTTTTCCTCCTGTGCTTTCATTTTCAAGAGGGTTTAAAAGGAAGAAAAAAATCCCCCAGAAATGTTCAATAAAATGTTTGTTTTTTTTTTTTTTGAGTGAAATCTCTCCAGCAGTATTTGCTGTCCTTCTGTCACACAGTGTATAAATGGATCTGTACGCACCGTCATACAAACATGGACTCAAACTGGTTTCATATAAAAAAAAGCTTTTTTTTTTTTTTAACTACCATTTTTAAAGCAGACATATACGGGAAATAATCAGCATTAATAAGTCACACCTAATTGAATCCTATGCACTGTTCCATCCTCAGAATAAAAAGAATAAACAAAAAAATATTATTTTAGAATAAACTGAAAACACTTTGGCTCCTAAAGCCAGAATTTACATCAAAAACTTTATGATCCGTTTCCTTAAATAGTTGGTCAACATAATAAAAAAAATATATAGTTAAAACCTTATATTTCTTTTTTAATTATGAACAGAAAAAGATGTCAAGACCTGAAAGGACATTTGCACACGATGCAGACATTTAAATGACACAGACTGGTTTGTGTTCGACTGTACAGACTGATCTGGTAGATTTCACGTTTAAATGGTGTTTCAACCTAAAGCATAGTCAACAAATACCATCTGATCACAAACAAAACTTTCTACATAACATTTCTTACACTGGACTCAAGGTGGCCACCTGCACAGCAACAAGGAAAATGTAGGTAGTGAACCGAATGCTGAATCCAGCTCACTGCTGCCCCTGTGTGGTGGGGAAAAAAGTCACTTCAGTTTATCGCCTCTCCTTCAGAAAACTCTTCGTTTGTCTGCTCCAGGGCAGCAGGAGCAGCCATTTCCTGAGTTCTGTGAACGCTGACGTCTATGACCAACAAGAGGGGCGTCCATCGTGGCTTCACAGGGTAGAGTTCAAGAACTCCAGCAGCTCTGCTCGATTTTTATCCCGCTGTTATGCACAAATTTCACAGCAAGACAACAAAAGACATCAAATAAAAAACTCAAAAAGTGTATTTTGCTTTTACTTTAATGAGGAAAAAAATGATTACCTGTTTGTCTTTTTTCGACTTCTTTACTTTCATCTTTATCTTCTTCCCTGAAATCATGCTGTACTTTCCTTTTTCTCTGTCCTTTAAATACTGAAAGAAGAAAATTGCTAAAATGAAACGCTACAAACTAAAAGTCATATTAAAAGGAAATATAGTTTCAGAGACCTAAAAGTGATCAATTAAAAGGTTTGAATTGATCAACTATTCAATCAATATCAACCATAAACGAAAATTCAATGGTTCTGAAACTGTAATAATTTTAATCATGAATAAAAGGGATGAATAAAATTATTTTTAGAACTGAATCACGCTTTTTTTAAGTGGACTTAAATCCTTCATTTTGTTACCAGGATTCCCACATTTGTTTACATTTCAAAATGTTACACTTGTCTTTTTTCACATTATGAACGTTTATGTACAACAAAATCTTTGCTACCTTAGAGATCTGAACCGGTCCTGATTTGTCATCCCCTCCTTTTGCCTTCTTGTCTTTTTTGCGCTTTTGCTTCTTCTCTTTCTTCCCTTTCTGTTGCAAAACACAAGGAAACTAAGTTATGCATTTAAAAGAATTTTTATTCTTTAAATATAAAGAATGAATTCAGGAAAAAAACATCATGTTTTTGTTACTTTTTTGTGCTTCTCCTTTTTTCTTCTTTTGGACTGCTTTCTGGATTTACTCCGAGAGTCTGAAAACAATAAAAAAACAATACACCAAGACAAACATATTGTCTGGTACGTAGAGTTTGAGTTTTGACATTCAGACACAAACACTTTTTTTTTTTCATTTCTAAACCAGACCATGTACAATTGATAAAATTATATTTATGTCTCCATCAAACTTTGGTCTGTCACTTAGAACCTGATTTGTATTAATTGCATTGATAACAACACAGTAATAAGTTATTAATCAGATAAAAATGTTCAGCATCGCTGGTAAACCATCCCCATTTCTGAGGGTATATCACATCCTCTGTTATGTGCAAAACACATTTTCCTATTTTCTGGATTTATTTCAAAATTACTAAATATTAAATCTATCATAAATTAAAAAAGAATATCAATTAAAGCTTGGACATTTTTAGTCACACTTACCACTGCTGCTAGAGCTACTTCTGCTGCTGCTTGATGAATGTGATGGATCTGAGGAGCTGGAAGAACTGGAGGAGGAGGAGGAGGAGGGTGAAGATGACGAGCTAGAAGATGAAGACGATCTGCTGCGGCTCCGTTTCCGCTTCCTTTTTTCTCTTCCTAAAAAAAACAAAACAAAACAGAAAGAGAGGGAAATCATAAGCCATGCATAAGAATCTCCTCTGTCACATCCTCCTTCAAATAATCTATTAACCTCCTCTGTGATTTTAATATTTTTCTTCTCCAACATTTTTTGTCCAATACGTCAACAGTCCCTCCTATGCACAACTAGAAGCTTTGCCTCTTTAACGTTGTCTTCCAACAGCTAAGCCTGAATTCTCCTGTTTCTTTTTTACACTGCGTCTAAACCACATTTCATTTCATTTTTGCAGCTATTCAGGGTTCCCAAGCATTTTTCAGAACTCCATACTTTTCAAAACTCAAATATGCTAAGTTTTCTTTAAATACACTTTTTAAAAAATTAAATACAAAACTTCACAATTAATTTATTGCAGCAATTTCTACAGATGTCAAGATTATACATATAGAACCTGGAAAATTAAGAGACGGACAAACTGGTGAATGACTGACAAAAATAAATACATGACCGAATGAATAAACTTGTAGATGACAAACATGCATTAATGGACAATGAACAGGTGGAGACACAAACTGATGGATGAACAGCAAAATCCTGTTTGAAATAAATAAATAGTAAAAAAAATACTATGCACCTTCAACTTCTCTCCTACTTTAGCCTCTCTACAGTTTGTAATACAAATTGCTAAATGAAGAATAAAATAATCAAACCAAAAATTCTTCAAAACGCATCTCATAATGAAAACAGAATTAGGAAAATGTATTAAGTTGACTTGTATCTCCATATTTATCCAAAGGGTGGTAATGAAATGACAGAAGGCAACCTGCCTCTGCTGCTTGACCTCGTCCTTTCATCTGTTCTGGATGAGGAACTGGACACCCTGTGTTCCGTTCTGGTTGACTAGAAACACAAACAAAACCTTTATAATTTGTTTATGGCTGCACATCAGACAAATCAGGAAACAAATTTGGATTAAAATTGAACATATTCTTCAAGTAACATAAAATTACCCACAGTGAAGTTTAAGTTAGTGGTCTAAAAAGCTGCACAAATAACACAGATAAGAGACTTTAATTCGTTAATTGTATTTTCAGTTGGTGCTACAGTACAAGAGCTACGATAGGCTAAAGCTAAAGCTAAAGCTGTGTGGGTTAAACAATAGTTCCCGTACTCACCATAACGACAAGTTACTACAGTTAGGACGTCATATAATTATTAACACAAACACTACTGTGGAAAAAATGTCTAATTGGTATTTATTTGCAGTTATCACCGGCGGATTAGCAGCAGTTAGCCATCTTTTTACACATTTTGTATCCCATGATGCACCGCTGGTGGCTACATTCAAAACAACAGGCGCCAGAGGAAAGTGCCATAGCGTCCCTAGTGGCAAATAAATGACACCACTGCCTTACTCTATAAAGGTAAGATTTTGTCAGCTTGACATGTATTTTTTTTTTTTTTACTAATTTTCTTAGGTAATAATTTATTCGTAAACGGACATAAAACATAGTAAACTCGTAGATTATAGAAAGTTAAACCAATAACTTCAGCAAATAAATTATTCCTGTACTAATCATAGCTTTTTTGAAATTATATTGTCCATACTTCTTGTTTTTCTAAGGAACATTTCTTTTTTTTTTTTGCCACATATTATGCTAGAGTTCCAGCTTTGGTAAATAAAGAAAATGAGAAATTTTGACATTTTTATTCCAATCTTAGAGATGTATAAAAGAAACCAGCCCATCAACAGCAGTATTGTACAAAACATTTTTAATATTGTATTAATATATTGTACAAGTAGGAGCAAATGCCCAAAGTATAAAAATAAGAAGCAAAACATCTTGAAGTATCAGTGGTTTGAGGCATGAGAGATCATTTAAAAAGCTGCAAATGTCAGATAAATCCTATTCGTAGTCAGTTTCATCAAGCCATCAGAGTAGCGTTTTGAAGTAGAAAGAAAAAAAAAGCACTTTGGAGCCATGCGTCTTCAAATATAAGGAGAAGCTTTTATACTGTGAATAAAACATGAGGTGTGTTGCAGTTGCAGTTGTAGTTTTTTAAGACTCAGTAACCAGAAAGAGAGAAACAGACATAGAGATGAGTAAGAAAAGCTGAAAAGAAAACCTTAAACATGATTAATAACCTCGAAAAGATGAATAGAAAATCTCAGTACCAGTTGCTATTGTTAGCTTTGATAAAACAGACCATGTCATTTCTTATACATACTGTATGTACATTTAAAAATACTTCTACTCTGAACAGAAAAAAAACAGTTTAATTTCTAACATGCATTTGTGCTTATTTGTTCAAGAGTCTTTGGAAATGCTTGGAAATAATATAAGATGTATGAAGGTTCACTAGTTATCAGATGAAGCGACGATCCCAGCCCGCGTCAGAGCTGAGCTGTCGGACTCTGACTCCTTGCACAAGGACCGGGCTCCAGTGAAGTGACGTGAAGCAGTTGATCAAAGGCCTCCTATTTTCATTTGAAGTTTCAGCAGATATACCAAGAAAAATACACGAGGCATCCATAAAATAAAAAAAAAACAAAAAAAACATTATCAAAAGCTTATCAGACATTACAGCAGTGAAGGAAAGAAGTCGCCTGCTTTGATTGTTGTAATATTCTTTGAAACTCTTTAGTGAAAAATTTAATTTCTTGCTTCCTATAATTTGGAAGAACACATTTCTTCTTGCTTGAAAAAAAACAACA